GAGGGAAGAGCTGTTTTCATGTCCATGAACAGGACCATGGGGCAGCGAACATCGAACGAAATATTTTGAATGCATCAGGGACAGAATATAAACGCGCAAAGATTGGAATAAAAAAATATAAGAAAATATAAGAAAGACTTACAGAGTGTGCCGTCTATCAGAATGATAGATTATGGAAGTAGAGAAAACTAAAGAATAAGGAAAGAAAGACAAACATACCATGCTCCAGATGTTTCTAGTAAGGATGGGAGTTGATAAATGAATTTCAGCGAATGTTAGAGGAAAGAGTAGCTGCATTATAGAGAAAATTGGCTTGAAATTATAGACCATTACTTAAAGATCTAAGGTATTGGTTCCCAAAGTGGACCTCCTGGGGTCGGTGGAAAGATCGGAGGAACCGTGAAGTAAAGGGTTTTGTGAGGGAAAGGATAGATAAAAAAAAAAAAAAAAAATCCGACTGGCAATATGGTTAATGGTTGAAACAAATAAATGTGCTAGACATCAAAGATCTTATAGCACTATGGTAAAAAAAAAAATTCTGGCGAAAAGAAAAAAAAAAGTTAATGTATAAAGTAAAATGTGTTAGATGCCAAAGGTTATAGAGTGTTACAGGTTAGTATGGTAGCGAAGAGAGTAAATAGGGGGTACAAATGAAGTAAAGTGGAGATTAGTAAAGGGAATGGTTAAGTGCATAGGGCGATTGGATAAGAATGGAGTGTATCTATGGCTGAGGAAGCAATAGGAACATTGTTTAAATAACACTGGCAAAAGAGCTATTATGAAACAAACAACGATGCACATGGAGGAGAGGATAGGGTGTGTTAGGAAAGAGTGGGAGGAAGAGAGGTGGAGGGGGTGGATATCGGCAAATACTTTGAATGTAGGGAGTAAAAATTCTTGGATGTCTTCAAGCTTCTGGAGGGAAGTTGAGTGAGGAGAAGAGGGGATAGATATCCGAGGAGCAGAGGGAAAGGAGGGTGTAGGAGAGGATGTAGTTGGCAAGGGTGGAGTGGAACGTTTAGGTTGTCTGGTGTAACAGGTTAAGTGAGGAGGGGGGGGGGTACGCATCGGAGAAGTGGTAGAGATTGGAGTATCTGGATTTAGAAGGCACATGGAATTTGACTGAAGGAGAGGAGGAGTAAAGGTAGGATGGTTCGGGGTAGAGGGAAGGGATACGGAGACATCTTGAGAAGATAGGAGAGGAGCAGAGCGAAGGGCAGTTTTGGAATAGGTAGAGATTGAAAGAAATCTTGTCTGTGTGCTTCCTGTCTGGCCTTACTTGAGGCCTAGTTTGAATCTGAGAACTGCTACCCGATTTGAGTTTATAGGGAGGGCAGCTCCTATAAAATACATTATAGGAGTCGTCACAATTGGCACACATATGTGACTGAGCAGAGCAATTTGAACGGTCATGACCAGGTTGGGCATATAGAGGGCAGCGGGCTGTGAAGTGTGTTTGACTAGGTGGCCAAACGCCAACATTTGACATTAACGAGGAAGGGGCCGATATGGTCGGGCAAAGAAGGGTACTCCACCAATATAAATAAATATTATGAAGGTTCGGAACGACTACGAAAGGAAACTTTGCCTACTTGTATTTAGGGACATTGTTGGAAGAGAAGGGTATTAGCATAGTAAGGAGTTGTGGGAGAAATCATGAAGAATCGAGTACTCAAAACTTTGGCAGAGGTAGAGGCAATAGAAGGACGAGGGCGGGAAGATGGTGTATGTACTAATGTGGGGAGGAGGACAATATGGATGAAGTCTTGTAATGAGGGGGGAGGATGTAGAAAATGAAGACTGCAGTAGATGGATTGGAGACTGTTGGGAGAGAGGACGGGGTGCATTCGGAAGGTTGAGGTGTTAGTATAACTGGTCGGGAAACCAATTAAATCAAATTTAGATAGGCTTGTTGATGAAGGCACAAGCCTTACTGCCCCTAATAAAAGTAAAAATACCAATTATTGGCCGTGGTGAGCCTGAAATATATTGGGAAGTAAGTAATAATGACAAGAAAATATATGTGCTAGACATCAAAGGTCATATAGCACTGTTTTTGTATTGTGTTTGGAGGGTTTTTAAAGTTCTTTATTAGAGTTAAAATGTCAAGTTTTGATGGTCATTTATTGTATGATAGTATAGCATTTAAAGAAGAGGGAGAGGGTAGATGAGGTAAGATTGATTGAAAAGAGGAAGGGTTAAGGACAATGGATGGTTAGATCGAACGAAGGATATTTATGCGTCTGAGGAAGGAGAACAAGTTATCAAGATAAAAGGTGGGGGATTCTGTAAGGCTGTCTGACAGGTTAGGGGGTCGGGGAAGAAGGGATATACGAGGGAAAGTAAGGGTACGGGCTTCGGTAAAGTGAGGGCAGGATAATAGGATATGTGGGACAGAGATAGAGACGTTGCATGTAAATATATTGGGAAAAGAAACAGTCTATCCTTCAGGGTCTCCAGGAGTGGTAAGGGTTAGGCTATTAATCAAGGGAATATTTTGCCCATGGCTCCTAGAGGCTGTTCATGACTGACACAAAGAAAGCCTTTCATCCTTTCAGCACAGCTCACACCTTAGTGGACAGAAGGGGATGAAGAGGAAAAAGGAAAGGGGGAGAAGAAAAGACCAGACAAAATTAGTTGTGGCTGAGCCCCAAGATAGGGTCAATTGCTTCCCTTGGGTCTCAAGTCTATCCCTGTCTCCTAATCCCCACAACAACGAGCAAGGGATTGGGGGGATTTTTCCGTATATTGCACTGTTTTTGACATTTAATAAATCCTTGGCCCCCTTCCTTCTATCCCATAACAGCAGAAAGTTAAATCGGTTTGAGTAAAATAGTATGCTTTCCTTTACAACGATATAGGCCTATATGAGAGTAATTCAAACATTTACACCAGATGTTTGTATTTATTTACAATAATGAGCTCTTTTAGATGGTTCCTACCCTCTACTTTGAAAATCACAGGACTAGATGTTTAGCACTTTGGTTTATGTTTTCACCAAATCTCACTTCATGACTTTTATTTGACAAAACACAATAACACAAGCATATACTTTGTCAGTAAAAAACATTCTCTAATTTACAATATATTACTATGAAGCTGAAGGGAATAAAACTTACATTTCATGTATTTTTTTTCTTTGGAGTTTTATTAAAAACAAAAACATGTAGATATAATTTTCACATATCAAAAAGTGTAACCTTATACTCCATGCTGACAACACGGCACTGCAGAACCTTCTTTCACCCGACTATAAAATACTTCAGGTGCACTTATACTAATGGAAAACTTTTGGAAAGGAGTATCACAGATAAATACATATACGCCTATGAAAAATGCAGCTTGTAAATGCGAACAAAAAAGTGGGGGATATCCTACTACAACTACCTGCATTTTCCAGAAAAATTGGCCTAGTCCTTTAAAAAACAATTTAAAAAGAGAAAACATATGTAAAGGTTTCAATTTTGTCACTTTTATTATATTCAGAATAAAGATGCCATAGAAGGGGGTGGGGAAATCATTCATAAAGACGAAGATGCTTGATCAGTCTCGGGCCACACTTATTCCCAGGATGGTGGAGGAAGGTCAAATATTTCCCCCATTACCGGTTCCAACTTGTTCACTTTTTCAGGCTCTGTGGAAGAGAGGAGTATCATGATAATTACATATTTACAACACACACTTGTTAATATTCAGATAATTTAGTTATGACAGTAATGGATGTAATAACCCAAATAATTGTTAACATCTGACTAGCCAAGATTGTGGTCTTGTAATAGATTTCACTAACCATCAAGGTAATAGATCCCCAAATTAATGGATTTTAAACATTTCCCTACTAAGTGAAAGGATTTTTTTTTCTTTTTTTTTGAAAAAGAGCATGAAAAGAGAGAAAGGAAATAAGGAATAAAGAGGGAGGGAGGGGGAGAGATTTTTTTTTTTTTTTTTTTTATTTGATGGCACTGGGGATGGCATGTATGTACATGCCAGGACCACCGAGTTTAATTTATTAACAGTCTTTACACATGGATGGCTCTATCAGTAATTAAGTCACCAATGCGCAAATTGCTAGTACTACCTACCTCACCTGTTTACCCTTTTCCTTGATTTTATAAAATACTTTCTTTTATCTTCTTATAATTATAATGCCTACAATAATATCAGCACCAATACTGATAGCATTAGTGAAAGTAACCTCTTCCCCCCTAAAAAAAACAAGTAAAGGAAATTAGGTGAGGTCACAAGGTCAACTACTTGACTAAGCACTTGTGGGGCAGTCTTTGAAACATTACATAAATTACTAGAGTGACCACTACATCTTCCTGGCAGTACTGGGATGAAGATGGATTGCCAATACAGTTCTAAGACCCTACCTCTCATGGTGGACATGAGGGAGAATGACCTCGGGGGTGACTTGGGGATCTTAGAAGGAGAGAGGCTGCTCAACTCGGGTCGTCTGCACACTTCCCAGAATCTGACGAGCTTGCTGATGTGCTGGTCTGACAAGTTAAGCGAGGCTGGGAAGATGTCGGAGTAATCTGGGGGGGAAGGAACAGAAGGAATCATTTGAAATTACAATACAATTGCTCTCAAAATGAACAAATATGAAGGAAAAAAAATTAACATCAATGGAAACAAGAATAACGGATAAAAAATATAAAATAACACCAAGAAACCAATGAAATGGTTACATGCTAAATAAGGTACCCAAGAACACGAAGACACATTATCCAATTAACACTGGCCATATTACCACAATCTAAACTGACTGACTCGGCCTTTCTCACCTTCCTTTTCCTTGATCTCTGGGAAGAACTCAGGCTCCAGATCTGCGTTGGGTTTCTGTATTATCTGTGGCATGGCTGTGGAACATCAGGAATAATTGCTTCTTATCACTGGTTTATTGAGATTGTTCCATTCACATCAATTTATATAGAACTCATCAGTCACACTGAATTTCACAAAGTTGTAAGTATGCATATTAATTCAGGTATGCCTGCATGACCATTAAAAAGATTACATAGCAGTTTGTATTTCAGTTCATATGAATTTTGTGACATTATACATACTTCAATATACAAATTGTTTTTTAATTGCTTAATTTTTAATCTGTGCCAAAAAATCATGAGACACTAAGCATAAAAAGGGGGTAGGGTTAGTTAATATGTACTAAATGAACCTCAAAGGGAAATTGCACTATTTTACTTACATGTAGCAAGAACTGTCTGCTTTTGTGTCTTCTTCACTGCACTACCAGAAACCATGCGGTTGCTGATGTCTCCAAAAGAACGTGGCTTCATGTGAGATATATTTGACGTCTGACTGAACTTCTTCTGACTGTGAACTGCTAGACCTTGTGATGTTCCTGTTCAAATAAATAATCAACAACAAAAATTGAGGGGATATAGAGAGAGAGAGAGAGAGAGAGAGAGAGAAGAGAAGAGAGAAAGAAGAGAGAGAGAGAGAGAGAGAGAGAGAGAGAGATGATAATAAAATGGTCATTAATATTCACTTCACGTGTACTGCACACCTAACTGTAAATTAAATCAACATTGCAATTTATCAAGCTTTGTTATTTTTTACTTTTTACTTTAGTTTCAAAATGAACAGAGAAAGCTAAAGAGGAGGACGAAGAGAAAGGAGTGAAGCTAGAAGAAGCAAAGAAAAATAGAATCTTTGGACTTGCCTTGTGCACTGCGAACTCCCAGTCCCATGTGTGTCTTCATCTTTGCCCCTCGCTGAGCAATGGAATTTTCCTGGTCATTTACTGGTACTGTGGCAGTCGACATGGTGAATCTGGAATCATTTTAAAGTCATCACCCTGCTACATAAACAATTCTGTATCAGCGATGGATAAGGGCTCCAACTATCCAAAAGAGTACACACAGTGACACAAACTATAAGGTCTAAACTCAAGCTAAAGGCCGATAAACCTCCATCTCATTCAATCTACCAAGATACGAGACCTCCTTGGTGATCTACTGCCCAGTAAGTGACTGGTCCAAACTCTCTCTTACCAGAATATGTGTGGCACTGGTCTGTTAACCTCTGCGGGACATAAGCCACAATTTCTGCAGTTCTGTTCCTAACTCCAATAAATGATACAAGCATACCCTAAATACATAAATATAAACAATACATCAGCTATTCATTAGGATTATTTACATATGAAACTGATCATTGCTAAAAAAAACTGGATCTGACTTGCAAAAAATGATCTGAATATAACTTTTTTTTTTTCTTTGTGCCTCAATGCAATAAAAGTAAAATGTACCTCATAAAAGTTTTAATCATAATAACCTTGAAATATATGTATATAAAAAAACTATGCTTGAAGTCAACACAAAATATGTCAGATCTAAATGGGCAAAGTTTACTGGGTAGTTTATTCACGTCATTGAATTTCTTTCAAAAGCGAACATAATTCATAACCTTTTTATGACTTCATAATGCAAGACCTAGTACTTGCAGTTGCATATCATAACCTTCAGGATAAATACTTCAGCATGATATTGCCAAGAGCAATGCACAGAGATAGAGGGGTATGGACACTGCTCTCTCATAGAGCAGGCCTCATATTTACCACAAAATGACGAAAATATCCACTGCATATCACCCCTTGGAGACTAAATCCAAAACACTTTCACAGAGTTCTTAAGGTTACATTTCTATAAGTTAGCCTGAAGTGCTAATAAAGAGGCTACAAGGGGGGTTGTCCCCCTTCTACGGAATAATAAAAATGTGCTCTCTCATAGAGCAGCCAATAAAACCAATATCTGACCATACACAAATAAAACCCCAACAAAGGCATGGAAGGCACATCAAAATAATAGGAATATTACACATTTACAAATGAAAACGACCCGCAAGAGACATAAAAGCCAGAGCAATCATTAGAAAGACGTAAACATGCGAACTTCTAAACCCATTGCCTAAGTAAAACGACCCCCACAGTCAAGGCAATCAAAAAAGAGCAACGATGCACGCAAAACAGAACCTCACACATATTTCACATAACCACAAACAATAGAGACCAAAATAAATCCACAATGCTACAACACGACCCATGGAAGAAACTAGCATAATATCCCAAACAACAACCTTTCAACAGAGTTCTTAAGGTTACATTTCATATAACAGTTTTAGCGCGCGACTGAAGAACTAATGAAAAGAGAAGGACTGAGCGAAGAACGAGAGGAGGGAGAGAATATGTCTCTCTTTCTCCACCGGAATATATAAAAAGGTGGGAAAGATTGCCGTATATCTGTCTGTGAGATTCGCGGGCAAGGAAAAGCCCTCCCATCATCCTGGTATTGGGTAGCGACAGATTAATCAAAACACTCAAGTTTACACGGACATGTTGCCTGCTTAAAAGACTATTCTAATTTGGAAGCCACTCCCGCAAGAGCAAACGATACCTCGGCAAAATCGGGAATAAATACGCACAGAGAAGAAGGTCTCGAGATTAGCTGGTAATAGGACAAAATACAGTGCCACAGTGGGAGTAGAACCATGTATTTTGAAAATGGACCTAGTCCTCATGTACACTTCTTCAATATAGTGCTACAGAATACTGGCTAAGAAAAATTGGTGCCAAGACTAGATTGGTGTTAGCACAAATCTTCTGTAATCACATACGAATCCTATTTGCACTATTTTCGAATGAGGGTGATGTCCAATTTCAACCTGAGTAACTATAATCCCGAGCTCTCCTTGCAGAGAGGCAAGTCGGTAATGCTGTAATTGTAGAGCTCAAATAAAATAGCGAAAGGGGCGGCCTGAGAAACATGCGTACGGAAAAATGACTAGTACTCAGGCTTTGAAATCTATGGGAGGAGTGAAAAACATTTATGATCGAAATAGTATATAAATTATCATAACATGTGCCACAACAACAATTCACAATGCGTTCAGCAAAAATATAAATACCTAAATCAATAATATAAGTATTGATTGGAAAAATATTTAAAAAATTGTAGAAATATTAGAGTTTATGCATAGCACTAAACACAAATAAGTAAATATGAAGAGAAAGACTTAACAAATGTAGAAGAAAAACTACAGTAATAGCTATAAAAGCATATCAAGCAATCTACAGAAAGCAAAAGCAACACCAAAATCGATTATCGAAGTCCGCGCACACATACTCGGCAATCTAGACACTAACCTCTGCTTCTCACTCTCCAGGGAAAGCAAAGAAAGCAAAGAAAGTCCTGTGTGTACTTATAATGACATGACAGTTTGCTGACTAAATATGCAATTACTCTCAATCAAGAAATGTCATCAAATATACATGAAGGGAGTTTGCCAGGAAAATGGAGTCCATCACATCCCTCTTAATATTTTCCTCTTATGAACACTACCACAAAGGTTTATTTGAAAATCTATTAAGGCAGACCCCTGAATGTGGGCATCTATCTCACCACCTCTCATGCTAATAGTCGGCAGCATCAATGTGGCTACATTATTTCTAACACCATTTTCATTACATTTCTCACTTTTTACTGTAAATATGTATTTAATTTAATTAATACAAATATTGATATCGTGTGTACTTTGGAAAAAGCAACATATTTCTAATCAAAGCCCACAGAAAATAAGTTCCTTACACAATAACCTAGGCATAGAATAACTAAATAGCACAAGCAACAAGTTAAAAAGACAAAAGATAATTTTACACAATAGTTCTCAATAATAGATTGTGACAATTTTGATATCAACAGATTTCTCTCACTCTTTGCCATCCAATATATAGGAATTACTGCATGGAGACCTCCCATTGACAACACTCTTGGCCCCAATAGGGTATGAAAGTACCAGGGAAATTGTGGGGTAAAATATGCATATACACAGAACAACTCACTATATTGTTTAAACCCCCCAACCCCTGTAATGGAACACAAAGAATCCTCCACATACTCACAGCAGGAAAGAGCGTATGACCGACACGCAGGAGTGCCTGATGCCAAGTCTGTCTGATGCTCTCTCCTGCCGTGAATACGTGGAGGATTCTTTGTTTTCCTGGGTGGGCTGGGTGGGCAGCAGCTCTACATAAAGGAAATGCAGGGGTCACATAGTAGGGACATTATAAAGAAAGGAATTATTAGGAGCGGTATAAAATACAAATAATTAGAATACAATATCTAGATTATGCTTAGATGTCCTAAGAAGGGGCTATTCTTATATTCCTACTGACTATACGGAGTAATTAATAAGCATTGTAGGACGGTTTAGGATGGCCGTGATTTTATCGTGCAATTAATTTCTATAATTGGATATTCAAGGAAGAGTAGGGATTTCATTGATACTAAAGTCATTAAAAGATGATGTGACTATCACAACTATGAACATGATTCGTCGAAATAGCAACATTATTTAGTATAAATATCACTGCTCAAGATATTACCATATTTATAATAAACAATATTATACTGGTATACTAAAATGAGAAGATATGAATAAATTGAGCGCTGAATTTACCAAAAAAAAAAACCCCAAAATTAATTCAAAAAGACAACTCAATCAAGGCAGAAAATAGAATTAAGGAAACAGCTAAAAATAAAAACAAACCCAGTAAGAAGAAAAGAAATGAAGAGAAGCACTAAAGCGACGCAAATAAACAAAGAATATGTTAACAACTAGCAAAAGAAAAGTAAGTAGAAAAATAAAAAAAAAAAAAAAATAAACAAACAAGCGATGAGATATTTATCAGAAACGAGGAAGTTAAATTTGGAAAGTTAATATAGAAACACCAAAAATAGAATGAACCAAGAAATACAAGCTAAATCTGTCAATAATAGAAAAAGCAAAAATAATCTAAGAGACAGACTACAGAAGAACAAACCAAAACAAAAACAAAAGAAAAAAAACAAAAAAAGCAGATCTCCCACAAGAACGCAGACCGAGGTAAACTGAATCGGTACACGAAACTCTTCGGCAGCCAAGCAGAGAACCGACAAAAGTACTCGTACAGGTTATGAACGCAATATCTAGTGCTTTCCTAAACGATTTAATAAAATGTACACATGGGATTCTAGTTACAAGGTAAAATTGCGAAATTACAGGACCTAAATTAAAAAACGACCATTGGTCTGAATTTTTCACACACACCTTAGAAAATACATAACATAGCGGGGGAGGGGGGAGGAACGCCAGAAAACAAGCTTGCAAGCAGTATAGTAATAATTTCACTTTTATGTACCCGAGCAAAGCAACATTAATCAGACAACACACACAGTGGAACTAGCACAAGTAAATAGATAAAAATCATGCCATTCATAATGACTCAAAAAAATCAATAAAAAATAAAAACATAAAAACATAACATGACAAAGGTAAATAATATATACGCTAGCAATAATACGACAACAAACAGAGAAACACCACACGACACAAAACACACACAATGCACACGCATTGCAACAACACACTGAGGATATTGTCAAAAAAGGTTTACGTCCAGTTGTTAACAATTATGTAAAGCTATAATCTATTACAATTTCTCTTCCAGAGACACAAACTTGCATGGTTGTTCTCGTCTGGCAAATGACTATGATAATGAGTCTGCTTCGAAATGGTTTAAGTATTTGTTGCAAAAATCACATCAAACGCAGACCTTCCGTACAGGCCAGGGCACGAAGGGAAGGTCAGGCAGGGCAGAACCTGCATGAAACAGTAGCAGTCAACCTGGCTGCCATCCGTCCCGGCAGCGCCAGCCAGGACGCCAGCGAGTCTGCCTGCCTGCCTGCCTGCTCTCCTGCCTGCCTGCCTGGCAATTACCAGGGTTTTGCTCGGAA